AAATTCCAGACTTTGCACATGCATAATCTATATTAATTTTAACAGATCTATATTCTAACAGTTTTAATATATACATATATATGCAAGAAATAGAAATCATTAGAACTGACTTGTCAGTGAGACTATTTAGTGAAACAAATTTTAGAAATAAAAAGTTCTCTGTGCATCATTAACATGTCATTCAGAGTCATTTCTTGCATGCTTTTCCTCCTCATCTAATATCACTTATACATTTACAGTGTTGTTTTTTGATAACGAGAGTCACCTGGACTTTCAGAACCACTCATTCATCCTTGGATTTATTCTCCAATTAGCTACATTTTAAAATGTCTTTCATCAATATTTAAAAATTTGCTCTACTTTAAGAAGAGAAAAACAGCTAACTTAATTCAACAGATGATTTTACTGCCTCACTAAAAAGGCATGACCTCACTCTATTTTTCTCCAGCCTCATTCTTTATTATCAACTGCCCTGTCTCGTTATCTCTTCTTTAAGATTTTTTCCTATTTCCTTACCAGACTATTCAAATCATCTGTGTATTTGAGTTCACCCATTCCTGATAATGTGTTATTTCAGTTATATATTCTTCCACTGGCCTGTTCCTATTACTTTTTATTACATTATCCCCATCTTCCTAAAAGAGTTAAATCCATTCCATACACACAATAAAAATCATAACACTTGTAGCAATTTTTCCGATTCTATTCTTCTCTTCAAGGAGAAACTTATTGTAAAATATTCCTTGCCCAATTCCTGATAACTCCTCAACAACTTATGATCTAACAGCTTGCCTTTTTTTCTTCTTTCTTTTTTTATTGTTGTTCTATTACAATTGTCCCAATTTTCCTCTATGGTTCTGTGCTGACCCACCCACCCCCTGCTCTCATAGTCAACCCCACCCTGTTGTTCATGTCCATAAGTCATTTATACTTGTTCTTTAGGCCCTTCCAGTTTACTTCTCAACATCACTTCTCTAAAGTTGCTGCTGGCAAAGATTACTTCCTATTATCAGTTATCTATTTATACACAATAAGCTCCAAAAAAACTAATGACTTGCAATAACCATTAATTGTTGATTACAAGTTTACGTGTCAGTGGCTCTGCTGATTTGAGTCTGGCTGAGTTAACCTGTACAGTGCTTGCTCTTAATCTATGTGAACAGGTGACTTGTTTGGGAAATGGCTGGTTGAGGATAGTGGACCAACTGCTGATCATGACATGAGCTTTTCTACATTTCTAAATCAGTCACCTGCTCAAAGGATTTTAATTTTTCTCTAATAAAATATTAAATTCTCAGTTGGGAATTTAAGGCCCTCCACTGTTTGATCCCAGTCAATGGGTGTTACATGCAATCCTATATGCCTTTTACTTCAGTTATACTGGTCTCTTGATTCCCAAAACAGTTCCTATACACCCCTATTCATATCCTTTTGCTTATGTTTCCTTACTCTTGAATAATCTTCCCACAAGATCCATCTACTTAGTCTTCTACCTGTTTAAGAATTTGTTCAAATAGTACTTGATGTGAATCCTGTCCTTTCTAGACTGCGGATTCAATATTTTCTTTTTGCTCTCCTATCTTACATTATATGTCTACATCTCTACATTGGATGCTAAACACTTTAAGGAAAGAAATTATCTCTTAGGTTGTGTTACCAATGGTCAGAGATTTTGTACATAAGTGTTATTAAAATGATAAATATGTGCTGGTATTGAATGGTTTAAGATATAATTTTCAAGAAAAAACCTACAAGAAGTAATATATATGCAGTGTCTTCCTACTTGTCAAAAACCTAATTTGCATATATATTTTTTTAGTTCATTAAATCAAGAAAATATCAAACTCAATTAATTGAAGATCAAATTTCAATGTGTAGTGTATCATTTTGCTCAGTGGAATCTTGAAAATACATAATAAAATTAAAGCTTATCAGTCAATATCAGTATTAGTAGTCACTGTTTACATTTTAATCAATTTGGGTCCTCACAATAAATAGCACACTGATGGTGGGAAATTTTAAAATAGTTTAATTAAGGGCTATTCACAAAAAGTTGAGTATCAGTTAGCAAAACTAGGAAAGATTGAGCTAGCAGTACTACCATGGAAAACTTCCCATCCCTTGGCTAGAACCTTTACCAGGACTTGGAGATAGAGGACTCTGCAGAGAAAACACAGGAGCTGTGACCTTTGGTAGAAAGATGTTAACAAATCCAGACCTAACACTACTTCCTCTTTCTTCTTTCTCCTAGTATTTCCTAGCGACCAAATTCAACCAGAAAACCAACCTTGCCCTGTAACCAAAAAACCAGGGGAGGTCAGTAATGTGGTAAATAGAAAGTAGGGTGGAAAAGGATGGAGTGTGTGGACCTGGCAATGATTGATATCTGGGAGTCATGTTTCAACATTTTGTTTTTATTTGACTGTCTTTTCAGGTTTCTGATTCTGTTTCAGAAAAATCATATGAATGAGTTTCATTAATAATATGTTGGCTTAGTAAAAAATGTGAAAATTTCAGTTAAAAGGAGTCTTTGGATCCAATTATTTTGCATCTTTGTGAAGAAATTTAGCATCCACTTCAATAATATGAAAAAAATACTGTGGAAGGAGAGTGAATTTAGAAACCTTTTGATTATAGCTTTCTGTTTGAGTACATAATCAACTTCACAGTCAGATATTTTGATGTCTTAAAATTATTAGTAGTACTGATGTGCTTTATTAAAAGCACAAAAGTGTTTTTATTCTTCTCAGAAAATGTTGTGAAGCACATACATTCAGTAATACCACATTTGGGATTTGCAGGATACTCTGGTAGATTTCTTATGATACTTGAAGGATAAAACCTACCTTGAGTTCTCATCTGAAATACATAAAAGGCCAAGCAAGCAAAGAGATATATAGCAAAACATTTTAAGAAATTAATCCTCAACCTCAAGAAGTGGTAGAGGAGACAAAACAAACTTTTAAAAATTGAAATAATTTTAATGATGAATTTCTTTTGACCTAAAAAACAAGAGACATTAAAAAAAAAAGATTATCCTTCAGAAATAATGACTTTCTCATTTTGGTTTATATTAGTTCAGATACAACATCTAATTTGAATCACATAACAAACATTGTGATACATTTTTGGATACATTCAATTACTTAATTTCTAATATAAATAAATTGCATGTTAAAGAAATTAAATAATATTCTTAAGTTTCAAAACTAGTAAGTGACAAATGCTTCAACTGAGCTACCTGACTGCTAGTGTAGTATTCTTTACACACTACCAGAATTTATAAAGCATTTTTGGGTAGGTAAAATTTGCATATCATTTTCCATACTAAGAAAATTTTAGAACATACATCAAAAGAATAAATTTTAAAAGGATGAGATAAAAATAAATGTAAATAGAAGATCTGAGACTTCTTTACCTGCCTTCAGCATACCTGCATGTCCTGCTTTAAAAAATATTGGTCAGTACTACATATGCCAATTTACCCTCTGAACTAAGATAAATTTGCAGTCGTTAATGCTCACCCTATAGAAAATAAAACCCAAAGGTTCTTAGATACTCTATGTCCAAAATTATGAAGAAAAAAACTATGAAGGCATTTTTAAGGCAAAAAAATTATAGGATATGATAATCGTTTACATATAAGGACCATTGGAAAAGACGTCCAGATTTCTAATTTTTTCCCTTCAGTCATTAGGAAAATGCTGATTAAGTTATGAAATATAAAAGAACACCTTAATTTTATATTTTGGTCTTTAGCCTTTTTCTGAACTGAGATGATTTTCTTTCTCGTTTGAGTTATAGTTCTCAATATAAACATAGATATCAACTTTCTGTTTATATTATTTGTATCCATTGTCTTTACCTCAACATTGTTTTTATGAGACACTTATTTTGATGTGTAACTGTTGTGATCATATTATTCCATTTTGACTCACATTAAGAAAATTCCCTAATACAATTCAAAAGAAATTATGCACCTTAATGTTTATAGCAGCACAATTTACAATAGTCAAGTGCTGGAAACAGCCTAAGTGTCCATAAGTAAATGAGTGGATAAAAAAACTGTGGTACATATACACAATGGAATTCTATGCAGCAGAAAGAGAGAAGGAGCTCCTACACTTGGCAACAGCTTGGATGGAACTGGAGAGCATTATGCTCAGTGAAATAAGCCAGGGAGTGAAAGACAAATATCATATGGTCTCATCTGTAAGTGGAACCTAACCAACAAAACAAACAAGCAAATAAAATATAGCCAGAGACACTAAAATAAAGAACAAACTGACAGTAACCAGAGGGCAAGGGGGAAAGGGATGGTGGAAGAAAATGAGGGAAGGGCCACCAAGGACACATGGGCAAAGCCAAAGGTGGGTAGGTTCAAGGGTGGGAGGCAGAGATGGGTGAGGCAGGAAGCATCGTGGGGAGAAAATGGAGACAACTGTACTCAAACAACAATAAAAATAAATAAAAAATTAAACAATTTAGAAAAAGAAAATTCCCTAATTCAAACTGGCTTAAACAATAAGGAAATGTATTTTTTCACATAAATAGAAGTCCAAAGGTAAGACAGACTCCAGGCATGAGAAACAGACTGCAGTGATGGCATCAGGAAATAAGTATTCTTCCAGTTCTCTGCCATTCTTACAATCACAGGATAGCTGCCAGGATATGGTGTTATATGCTTCCTTTCTATGTCCAGCAAGATAGAGGGAGAACCTCCTTCCTGACCGAGGAATATAAACCCTTCTTTCAGTTAGTTTGGGTGAAGTGTGTAAAGAACTGCACTTACATCAGCTAAGTAGATAAAATCTTCCAATATCTACTCTTTCTCCCTAAAATAATTTATCCACATATCCCTAAGTCCCCCAAGTGAAATTTACCAAAATTTAAAGGAACACATAACTCAATTGCTATATAAACTTTTCTACAACACAAACAGCTAAAAACATCTTTTTCATGGCACAAGTATAATCAGAGCCATGAAAAACAATTGGGAATCTACTGAGCCACTACTATCATGTTTAATAGAAAGCCAGAAGAATTTACATTAAAATTAGAAATAAACTATTTGAATAAGTTCTGTCAATATAAATGTACAGCATTGTGACTATAGTTAATATTGTGTTGTATATTTAAAAGTTGCTAATAAATTTTAAAACTCATGACAAGAAAAAATGTATCTGTTGGTGATGAATGTTAACTTATTGTGGTAATCAGTTTGCAATATATACATACATTAAATCATCTACTCGTCCTAAAAGTGATAGACCATGTCAATTATATTGCTACTTCAAAAGTTTTTAAATAATTTTTTGAACTTGGAAGTTATTCAATTTCTTTGTTCATCAGTTTTCTCATTCATAAACAGGAAGGACTAATACTACCTAGGATTGTGATTAGCATATTCTAAATTACGAAGTGCAATGTAGATGTGGTTGGTTCTCTGTGAAAGCTGTTAGGTTGCTGGCAAAAAGTCTGAAGGATGCTGGCTAAAACCCTTTAAAGTCTCTTTCAGCTCTAAAAGTTGTAGCATACTAGTAAATAAGAAACAGAATGAAGAGAAAATGTATCTCTCTCAAGTTATACATACATTTACATATGAAATAGAATGTTTACCAAATATAGGTTTTTAAAACCATATCTTTTATGACAAATGCTGAATTCAAAAACGGTTCATTCTTTATTGAGATTTCCTATATAAAAGGTAATAGCTATGTTTGCTTGCTTATTTCAAGCAATCTTATCTTTTACACTCGATAGTACCAAAGGGAATAAAAAGGTCAAAGTTTTAAAAAACTATAAAGAAATCACATTATGTTTTTGTTATATAGTTTTTAAGATGCTGTACCAAGACTTATAAATTCTTTACAAAATTTAAGGAAATGCCTGCCTCCATTAAGATGGTAGTCCACCAAAATGAGTTCTCCAATTATTTTGAAGTACTAAAATACTACCTCAGCAAAAGACTACAGCTTGACTACATTTCTTAGCCGCCTTTGAAGTTAAGTGGGTCATGTGCTGAAGTTTTGCCAATATAATGTGACCAGGAAAATGTATATCGTTTTCAGATCTGGATAGGCCTCTTTTTTACCTTCCTGGAATGCTGAGACCTGGTTCTGGAAGTGAACCATTTACCATGCAGTAAAACAATGAATGACACGGGGCTGCTTTAGAACATGATTAAATTAATCTGAGACCCTGAATGAACATGTAGAACAGAGCTTCCTGACACCTTGAAGCCCCTGAATTAGAAATTTTACTAGATTTTTAAAAATCATCGTTTGCCCTGGCTGGTGTAGCTCAGTGGATTGAGCACGGTCCTGCGCACCAGACAATCGTGGTTCGATTCCCAGTCAGGGCACATGCCTGGGTTGCAGGCAGGTTCCCTGCCAGCCACTTCCCAGCAGGGGACGCACGAAAGGCAACCATACATTGATGTTTCTCTCCCTCTCTCCTTCCCTTCCCCTCTAAAGATAAATAAATAAAATCTTAAAAAAAAAGTCATCATTGTTTTTAAGTTTTGGGTTTCTTAATTATTAGTAACAAAATCTTCATCAAACTAAAGGCAGATTCATTAAGTGTAAAATACAAAACACATTATATATTTAAAACAATAAAGTCAAAGATAAAGTGAGGAAATCTGGAAAAATGAAAGGCCAAGGGACACATTTATTAGTCCTAAGTATGGGATATAATATAGATTAGTGGTTTCCAACCTTTTTCATCTCATGGCACACATAAACTAATTAAAAATCAATGGCACTTGAAAAAGTGTATTTTGCCAATCTGACTAAATAGGTATCATTTTGATTCATTCACACCACACAACTGTGTTGTGTTGGCTGTTATCATTTTTTAATTTGAGAATCTAAGAGAAAAAAGGTTAATGCCCCCGACTAGTCAGGTATTGCACATTTTAAAAATTCTTGCCGCTCACAAGTTGAAAATTGCTGAGATAGATTGTTCAAGTTTCTGCCTTAGATAACTCAGTTTTTAGAACAGAATGTTAATTATTCAAGTAAGAATCAAGCACCTAACAAACTCACTGCTGTCATTTCTCTAGTGTTGCCTCAAAGTACAAGAGATGTCTGACAGTTTGGCTTTAAAAAAGAACTCCCTTACTAATAAATAATCATGAAATATGCAAAGATGACTCTGATGAGATTCTGAATATGAACTTTATAAGCAAAATCTGCTATGGACAAAACACGATGTAGTTTAATTCTGACCATTCAGAGATGCTTTATAATTTAAAATTTGAATATAATTTTCCTCATAAAGTCAGAGGTGGATATTACCTAAATGTTACTGGGTTTTTTTGTTTATATTTGCATTGTGTAAATATTGTTTATATCAGATAGACAAGATATATATCAGAAAAAAGTTTATAGAATAGAATTTATACTTGCTCTATTAATCACTAAACAGAAATATTAAATTGTGTCATTCATGAAGATTTTGTGACAAATTCTAAGTAAAAATATTTTCCTTGTAATAAAACAGAAAATGGTATTTTGGACTAGAATCAAAGTCATGCTGCTAATAATTACTTAACCAATAGTGATAATTCAGTTCATTAAATAATTTGGTATTAGTTTCATCCTGTCACTATTCATGAATTGGCAAACCTAAATCTAAGACTATTTAAACAACAAAAAATTGTTTTCAAGAAATCTTTAATATTTACAGTGTTCAAATTTAGCAAGGAAAATGTATTCTATAACCTATATAAGTACTCGTTTTATATTGCTTTAATTTATATTTTAATTTAATTAAAACCCAAAAAGTATATTTTTGAGAGTGGTAGCCATGCAAAAAGTTGCTGATGAAAAAATGTCAACTCTCCTCACTGACACATTTTTGTTGCTCATTTATACAACTTATAAGCCCTCTTTTCATTACATAAGAGCAAATTTGAAATTTTGAAAATCAAATGTTATTTTAACAGGTATAATGATCTGCAGGTTTTGTTTATTTTAAACAAGGTCCCAGATTGAACTTGTTTAATAACTTTTCTAAAACCAGTTATTACCCATTTCTTAAACAGGTCTATACTTTAATATATCATTTTTATGTTATTTCATGATATCTCATCAATTATCAATAGGTAACTTCAACAAAGTCGAAATACAGTTAGCCTTAATCCATTTTATGGGGCATTTGGATTAAGATTTTTTAAGTTTTCAGGAATTAAGCTAAAATATAGTCCTTTGTGCATGCCTCATTACTTTACACATTTATATTGCATATGGTTTTAAGACAAAAGGTGTTTAAAAACTATATAAATTAAACATTTTGAATTTTTGTTGACTATTCCCAATTTTATAATTGGCAATATTTTGTATCTTTTATAACATTATTCTCATATTACATAGAGCTTTAGCTTATGTGTTTACTATATTAACAAATAAAGAAGTGGAAAATGTCAACATTTCTATAAAGGACCAAAATACAGAAGGCAAGGGAAGGTGTCAGAAAAATATTAATTTATGACTTTCACATTTTGGGCTGTAATTCTTACTGATAGCGCATTTACTTTGAAGCAGGCATTTATTATACACAGAATCTCACTAAAATTTGTGTAACATTTTTAGGTAGGTTATACTCATTTTAATGATGAGAGATTAACTAATTTATACCCAAAGTTAAGTAGCAGTAGAGCAGATATACTTTTTCCCTTTCCGCAATTCCTACTGACACCTAAAAATATTTAATTTCTTTGATAATTAGGAAATGAACTAAAGGAGATAGAAATACTTTTTATATACCTACCTATTCTCACTGTTTCTTCTCATTTTTCTGTCATAAGGGAAGATTTTAATATTCACAACTACCCATATTTTGCCATGTATAATGCACTTTTTTGCCCAAATTTTTGAGGGAAAAATATGACTGTCCATTATACATAGGTATAATAATCAATTTGTAACAGTACATAACATTTCTTGTACCTCGTATCTGTTCGTGTTATGTAACTGTAAGTTACATAAAATTTCTTGTACCATGTACGTTCAAAAGTAAATGCTAAAAATTCCTTTATAATACAAAAAAAAACAAGTATCTAAATATAAATAAATAAAAACTGAATTAAAAAATTAAAACAAAAGATTTTTTTCCTGAAAGTTTGGGCCAAAAACATGGGTGTACACAGCAAAATACAGTAAATATCAACTACCTGTAAATATAATGCATAGTGTCTTCAACACCCAGGACTATAAAACTCACAAAACTATTTTTTTGGCAACTTGTTTTATATTATATGCTATATATTTAAAACTTGTGGAGTATGCTACAAATAAAAACTCTAACTCATTATCATTTATAAAAACTCTTCTCACGGTTTCTCTGATTTTGGAACCGAAGTGTTCCAGCACTGTAACACTCTCTTACACCCATGATTTTTATCAGGTACAATGGTATCCTCTTCACTACTTGGTAATAAAAAGTGTTATTCATTAACAAATTGCACTGGAGTGATTTTAGAACATTTGGTGTAGAATTAATGACTTTCTGCCACTGAAATCACAGTTGAGACTTAAATCATCTTGTTTTAGGGCTTCTGATATACAAACAATTAATAATTTCCTAAAGTTCTTAAGCAGTCAAAATTAGGAGAAGTAGATATGATACTCTAATACCAAGTCTAAATGTAATAAAATAATGAAGTGTTTACACTATCTTCGGATTATTTAAAATGCTATTACATATGGCGGGAAAAAAAGTTAACTTGCAAAGGGTAACAGGTTAGATATTAAAATATGTAAAATAGTTCTTAAAATCTTAAAGAAACAAATGTAAACATTTAACAAACTTTACTTAATAGTCATGGGGTGTTTTTAGGTCATTTTTAATGCACCAGATTTATTTACCAATTTAAATGATCACTTATATGCAGAATTTAAAAAATTCCTTGGGAGGGGGTAAACAAATCAATATATATTAGATGTATAAGGACTAGAGCCAGAGGCAGACTGAGTTCCTAAGTCATAAATAATACCTTTTGCATAAAAAAGGGTGGTACTTTATAAGAAATCCAAGTAATATCAATTTATAAAAACAATACTTAGAATGTTGGCCACAAAAAATATAATGGCTGGAGGCTTTAGGGGATTGAAGAAGGAACAAAAATACACAACCAACTAAAAACGCGCATTTCGCCCCTCAAAGAACCAAAATAGAGTAAAAAATTATAATAGTTCCTTATGACACCCACAAAAGTTCAGGCATTAAGACTTGTTGCCTGACACAGACTTCTTGCTGTTTTAAAACACGCCTTTCCGTCCTTAGGCCTCTCTCCCTGGACACCAGCAGTCGCAAGACGTAGAAGTTCTGCACTCATCTAGTCTCCGGAGACCTGCAACCTGCTCAGCCTCCCGACAAGAGTCCCCCGCACCAGCTCAGCAGACAGGTTCCCAGGGCCCAGCGCGGCCTGGGGAGGGCGCTAAGTAGGGGAGCCGGAAGTCTAGGGGGAGGGGCTGCACAAGGCCCCGCCCCTCCCAGGTTGCGGCCTCCAGCTACAGCCACGGCTCTGGGGGCTCTGGGGGCTCTGGGTCCAGGGGTCAGACGCCAGGCTCGGGTTCACGCAAAGACAGCTCCTCCGGGTCTCCCCCCGGGCGTGGCCCACGCTGTTCCAGGTGCAGTTGCAGCAGGGCCCGGCGGTACATGGCCTCCAGCTTCTCGAGGCGGGCCCTTAGGGCCCTGGGGCTGCCCGGCTCGCGGTCCGGGCCGCCGCCACTCGTCCTCCAGTTTGTGCCGGCCCCTTCAGAACCTGGGGTCGCTGTCGCCGCCTCCGCGGGCGCCCCGTCACCGCCCTCGCCGGGGAACCGCAAGGCCTGGCGGAAGAGGCTGCGGTTTTCGCGCTTCAGCCGCCGGTTCTCAAGCCGCAGCCGGGCGTTCTCCTCGCGCAGCCGCGCGTTCTGCCGGTCCCGCTCGTCTCGCGTGCGAAGGGCCTCCAAATGGCTCGCCGCAAGGTCGGCGAACCGCTCCTCTAGCTGCTGCCGGGCGCCGCCCGCACGACCGCGCCAGCCCACGCCGCAGCTGCCACCCCCACGAGCCCGGCACGGTCGGCCATGCCCGTTCCTGGCCCCACCGCTGCCTCTGCCCCCGCAGCTCCCGTGCCTGGTCGCGCCACCACGCATGCGCCACATCGGTCTCGTCCCACCTCGCCAGCGTCCCAGCGCCAAGGGACCACGCGCTCAGGCGCGAGCTAGTTCGGGGTCAGCGGTGTGGCCGGGGCAACAGCGGAGAAGGCGACGAGGTGGCGGGCGGCGGCTGCTGGCTTGGGGCCACAGGAGGCCGGGAATTTGCCCGGTCTGAGGCGTGTCTTGTCTCCTGTGGTGGAGCTGCCTCCTGGGCCTGCAATCTCTGGGCCGCAGCCCATACACAATACCCCCGGGGAGCGCTTTGCCGCTCAGCTTCTGGCAGCGCGGGAAAAGCAAGTGTCCTCAGCTAGGTTCTGCCAGGGCACTTCCGTGTAGGCCTGTGCACTCAGGAGCCAGCCAGCCTCTCCCTGCTCCCCGGAACAACCACCAGTGGTTTACCTTTCTCCTTCCAAGGCAATCTCAAAGCAAGTAATAACTTCTGAGACAGAGATGTGGAGCTACTTGAAAAGTTCTGTATTTAGTACAGAAACGTGGCGGTTTAACCCACCTTGAAGCTTTATAAAACATTCAACAGAATGGAGCTGAGCACCTGCCATGGGACCCTAAAGTGGGAACAGGTAGCTCTCAAAAGAACATGGGCAATTCCCATTTTGTGTACAATTGGGAATTCACTTGTAAATTGCAACTCCACAAAACCTTTGAAACTCAAAATGTGCCATTCATACGCTCAAGAAACTTAGAATATTCTGTAAGTTCCATAATGCCTGAGGACATGAGGAATCAACTCATTGAAAGAATCCTTTGTTTTTAAGGATCTCAACCTACAACATAACTTGGTTATTGTAAAGTAAATAAAGGGTAAGATACTGATGGCAGAATCTCTTAGGGGAGAGCGGAGTAGCAAGAATCTATATTTTTAAACAAAGTCCCAGGTAATAGTTTCACCGAAGTCTCCAAACTACTGGAACAACTAAAGGAACAAAGAGCATATGAGAACCCTGGTTCACAGAGCTGCGGTTTCATTGAGTAGTACAAATAAAAAGTAACTAGGGGAAAATGCAAGTTCTTAATTTTTATACATTATTTTGCCGAGTAACATCCTAAACACCCATAACTACAAACGAAATCTCTCAGTTGGCATTATTTCATGAAGTAAAAAGTAAGTATAATTTCAGAATTTCAAACAATAGTTTTAATTACATACTGTATCATTCTTAATTTCCATTAAAAGTACACTGAAAACTTGGGTGCAGATATGCACCAACTACTCTATGGATTGTTGAATCAAAAATATGTTTTTCTCACCCTGAGTGGTTGAGTGCTGTCCTGGGAATCAAAGGGTCATGAGTTCAATGCTGAGTCAAGGGCACTTACCTGCGTTGTAAGCCAGGTCCCTGGTAGGGGGCATGCAAGAGGAAACCACACATTGTTGTTTCTCTCCCACTTTTTCTCCCTCCTGTCCCCTCTGTCTAAGAATAAATAAAATCTTTAAAATATATATGGTTTTCCCATTGTGTGTACAGAGCATGCTCAAGACAATGCTGGTGTATAAGCAAAGATGATTAGTTCTCAACTTCAGATATGATGACTTGTAAGGATTTGTAAGATATGATAGACATGCCATGGAAGCTAGAAAAAAAACACTGCATGAGAAAGATTTAGTCACCCTCTCGTGGGTGTTAGGAATTGGGTAATACTGTGTTTTATTTTTTGTTAGCTACATTCTCCACACCCCAACATGTGTATTCTTTAACAGCTTCCCAGATTAAAGCTCAGTTTCACTTGTAGACTATCTGTTAACTTTTTGTAACCAACCTCTGTAGTGAACCACACTAGATTTCCTAAAGGTCATTTAGGCTGTTTATATGAGAATGCCTCCATGCCCTGCTCTACACACCCAATCCAACCCCAAAGTACTCTCTTTTGCCTTGATAAGTTAATGAAGTAAAGTAAAATATGAAAAGCAGGTAAAACTGATTAAGCAAAAGGAAATCCGGTAAAATTGACGATCTGTTATATCTTAACAGTAATATTATTCGCGAATCCTTCCAATAGAATCCTTCCATTAATGCAGCACTCTGAGTCGGGCACATTGCATATACAACTGTATTTATTTTATTAATAGGAAGGGATAGAAGAGAGGGAAGAGAAGGACAAGGAGTGAGAAAAGAAAAGCCTGGGGTGGGGGTAAGAAGGAAAAAAAATTTCAGCAAAAGCCTATCTGCTGGGAACTGCCCTGCCTGGTTTCAAGAGTTGTAACCACCCTCCCCCCTCCCCCACCCCCACCCCCAGCCCAGGGCTCAGGCTGAGTGAGCAACCTTGGGACTCATAAACCAGCCACTAAGGAGACAAAGCTTACCTCCCAAGTAGGGGCTCCACCTCTGCTCCTTTTACTTCACTATGCCTGGCCCCCAATGCTTGATTGGTTAGCCAATGATGGGTGAGATTCCTCAAGGGAGGAATGACCTAAAACAGGCATAATCATGGGGGCCCCTGGGGAAGGACTTGGGGGCTACTGAAAAAGGGAGTGATGAACCCTTGCCCCTTGGCTTTGACATAGCCTGAGTCCTCATTCTGTCTGCAAGAAGTCTCCTGATCTCTTGGTTGCCTTACTTCCCCTGCCTGATTTAAGCCTGAAACAATGCCTTGAGCCTGAAACAATACCAGTGGTGGGCGCAGCCCTGTGCTAGAAAGGGCGGTTCCCTAGGGCGATCAGGCATAAGAAAGAATGCATAAAATCCTATGAAACCTACTTTGCTAATACCCTCAATTTAAATGATAAGGGTCCAAGCCTGAAATGAGTCTGTTTCCCCTGAATTTTATGGACCTTTAGCTATATAAACCTGTCTCAAAATAGGCCCTCAGAGGGCCTATTGGGTTATCTATTGTTTAATCATTTCTGCCTGACAATGATTGATGAGCTTTATTTCTTTGCAAATTGAACCCAATAAAAGCTTGTCAAGGCACGGGTCAGGGTGCTCTCCCCTTGAGATAGTGGCTGGGCCATCCCTTTTCCTCCATGGGACTTGGTAGTTCATGTGAATTTCTTGTATCTCATCCACAATGTTAGGGATCCCATGAGCTGGTGTCCGCATCACCTATCCAAAACAGTCATGAAGGTTTTCTGTGCATAGCAATGATCATTCATGGTTAATGGAGATTCTACCAACCTTCCTAAATAGGAGGTAGAGACAATGGATGCAATTTCTAAGTTGAAAGTATATTTGGAATAATTGAGCGACTAAAATGATTGATTCCCAAATTATTACTTGTGTTTAAATTTAAATAATAAGCCAAGAATCTATACCTGAAGATGAACACTTACATCATTTCCAAATAAGATAGCAAAAGTTTAGAAAAATACTTCTACACACCATTGTTTGTAAGTATTCTACATATGAAAATATTATGTTGCAAATAATATAACATATATGTAAGTAAAATGAAAAATCTTAAAATGAGAAAAAGTTATGAAATTGATTAAATTTATAAGAAATATACAGTTATAGGTACCCTTAAAAAGAGAATACAGGAAAATATATATCTTGATTTAAAAAATATAAAAGATAAACACACATGCCTTTCTTTAAAGATGGAAGTTTCTAAACAGCAAAATTGCTTGCTAAGTAGAAAAAAGTCTCAAAGGACACAGATTACTTTTTCCTGACATAGTATTTATTGTCCTTTAAGCTATGCTCACTCAAGAAAAAGAGATAAGAATTGTCTAATAACAAATTTGACAGTTTTATAAACAAAAGTTTAAAAAAACCCTCCAGTGGACCATTTTCATTTTGCGTTTAGGAAACTCTAAGGCTGAAGATTATTTTTTGACTAATGTTATAAAGTTTGGAATTAAAGAGCAGAAAGAGTCATTTAGAGTGCTTGATTTTGTTAGTTCCCTAAAGCAACAACTTTTTATTTATTTATTGTTTTATTAAGAGGACTTTTTGTAAGTATTTAGCTTTTCCTCCCTTACATCCTCAATTCCCATTCTCTAATTATACAAGAACTTAAATGTTGTCTTATGTAAGAGAAAAAAAGATGAACAAAAGATTTTAAAAGCATTGTTTGTTACTATAATGCATTAAACCAACAATTTTGTAAATATCGTATTTAAGAAAAGCTGTGTCAAGAAATTGGAATGGCAATGTTTTTGCCTTATGCTTCATGCACCCATTATAATATTTCTTAAAACGAACTTTAAATGACAGCTGTTGAGTTTATTGCCCCATTTTTCCTATTCTCCAAAAAAGTTATATCCACACATTGTAGCTATTATATATTTCTCAGTGCTTACTTGAGCAAGAGGCCCATGATATGTGTATATATATAATATATATATACATATATATAGTTTGTTTCTTATATTCCAAGTTTATTTCTAAGATTCATTTATTGCCATTATCATTTGACTCTAATTTCTTCATTTTGAATCACATTTATTAAGTGAGCCATATTCTTAAGGATTAATGGTACATTCACGTTGGGACAAGTCATTCTATATTAAATATCCCTCTCTCTTACTTCTCTTCTTAAAACATCCTATATATCTCACCAAATAAATTTTGGTCAATGACTTTGATCAAGTTTATTACATAACAATTTTGAACTTCTTAGTGTGGTAATACTTAAGTTTTCCAAAATCTGGATGTTCTGGGTCTTTCCTTGCTTACCTTATATTACTCCTCTGCTGAATTAGTTGCTCTCCTACTAAGACTCTTTGAGCCCTAAAGTTTGGTTGTGAAGTCCCCTCTGTAGATTGAATTGTGCCCATGCCCCAATTCTTTGTTGAAGTCCTAACTGCCAATGTGATGGTATTTGGAGATGAGGTCTTTGGGAGGGAATTAGGGTTAGAGGAGACAAAGCTCATATGATGGACTTAGTGGCCATGTAAAAAATGAACACTAATAGTGTGCTTCCTTTCTCTCTTTCTCTGCCATGTGAGAAAACAGCCAAAAGGTGGCCATCTGCAAGCCACCAGGAGAATCCTCCTTGGGGAAATGGATCAGCCAGCCCCTTGATTTTGGACTTCCCAGCACCTAGAATTGTTAGAAATAGATTTCTATTGTTTATACAGTGCCTTTTCTCTCTCTCTCTCTCTCTCATTCATCTGGAGAAAAAAGTTTCCAATAAGAGTTTATACCCTACCAGTCCATACATCTGTCTTGGGTGTCCTGAACTCAAACTACTTTTTTCCTCTTTTAAACATTGATAAAGTAATGTCTGTCCATGTAATTTGTAGCTGAAGTCCTTCATTCTGTTAACATTTCTTATGCAAATGGGTCTGCAAACAGAACATGAGTTTCTGGA